TGAGTGGTGAGTGAGTGGTGAGTGAGTGGTGAGTGAGTGGTGTAGCCTCACCGACAGGAAAGTCTCTCCAGTACGGTGAGTGACCAGGCCTCGCACACAGCCTGAGTGGTGAGTGAGTGGTGAGTGAGTGGTGAGTGAGTGGGTGAGTGGGTGAGTGAGTGAGTGGGTGGGTGAGTGGGTGAGTGAGTGGTGAGTGAGTGGTGAGTGAGTGAGTGGTGAGTGGGTGAGTGAGTGAGTGGTGAGTGAGTGGTGTAGCCTCACCGACAGGAAAGTCTCTCCAGTACGGTGAGTGACCAGGCCTCGCACACAGCCTGAGTGGTGAGTGAGTGGTGAGTGGGTGGTGAGTGAGTGGGTGAGTGAGTGAGTGGGTGGGTGAGTGAGTGAGTGGGTGGGTGGGTGAGTGAGTGGGTGGGTGAGTGGTGAGTGGTGAGTGGTGAGTGAGTGAGTGGTGAGTGAGTGGTGTAGCCTCACCGACAGGAAAGTCTCTCCAGTACGGTGAGTGACCAGGCCTCGCACACAGCCTGAGTGGTGAGTGAGTGGTGAGTGAGTGGGTGGGTGAGTGGGTGAGTGAGTAGGTGAGTGAGTGAGTGGGTGAGTGGGTGAGTGAGTGGGTGAGTGAGTGAGTGGTGAGTGGTGAGTGAGTGGTGTAGCCTCACCGACAGGAAAGTCTCTCCAGTACGGTGAGTGACCAGGCCTCGCACACAGCCTGAGTGGTGAGTGAGTGGTGAGTGAGTGAGTGAGTGGTGAGTGAGTGGTGTAGCCTCACCGACAGGAAAGTCTCTCCAGTACGGTGAGTGACCAGGCCTTGCACACAGCCTGAGTGGTGAGTGAGTGGTGAGTGAGTGAGTGAGTGGTGAGTGAGTGGTGTAGCCTCACCGACAGGAAAGTCTCTCCAGTACGGTGAGTGACCAGGCCTCGCACACAGCCTGAGTGGTGAGTGAGTGGTGAGTGAGTGGTGAGTGAGTGGTGAGTGAGTGGTGTAGCCTCACCGACAGGAAAGTCTCTCCAGTACGGTGAGTGACCAGGCCTCGCACACAGCCTGAGTGGTGAGTGAGTGGTGAGTGAGTGGTGAGTGAGTGGTGAGTGAGTGGTGAGTGGTGAGTGAGTGGTGAGTGAGAGGTGAGTGAGTGGTGTAGCCTCACCGACAGGAAAGTCTCTCCAGTACGGTGAGTGACCAGGCCTCGCACACAGCCTGAGTGGTGAGTGAGTGGTGAGTGAGTGGTGAGTGAGTGGTGAGTGAGTGGTGAGTGAGTGGTGTAGCCTCACCGACAGGAAAGTCTCTCCAGTACGGTGAGTGACCAGGCCTCGCACACAGCCTGAGTGGTGAGTGAGTGGTGAGTGGGTGGTGAGTGAGTGGTGAGTGAGTGGTGAGTGGGTGAGTGAGTGGGTGAGTGAGTGAGTGGGTGGGTGAGTGGGTGAGTGAGTGGTGAGTGGTGAGTGAGAGGTGAGTGAGTGGTGTAGCCTCACCGACAGGAAAGTCTCTCCAGTACGGTGAGTGACCAGGCCTCGCACACAGCCTGAGTGGTGAGTGAGTGGTGAGTGAGTGGTGAGTGAGTGGTGAGTGAGTGGTGAGTGGTGAGTGAGTGGTGAGTGAGAGGTGAGTGAGTGGTGTAGCCTCACCGACAGGAAAGTCTCTCCAGTACGGTGAGTGACCAGGCCTCGCACACAGAATGAGTGGTGAGTGAGTGGTGAGTGAGTGGTGAGTGAGTGGGTGGGTGAGTGAGTGAGTGAGTGGTGAGTGGGTGAGTGAGTGAGTGAGTGGGTGAGTGAGTGGGTGAGTGAGTGAGTGGGTGGGTGAGTGGGTGAGTGAGTGGTGAGTGAGTGGTGAGTGAGTGAGTGGGTGAGTGAGTGAGTGAGTGGGTGAGTGAGTGGGTGAGTGGGTGAGTGAGTGGGTGAGTGAGTGAGTGGGTGGGTGAGTGGGTGAGTGAGTGAGTGGTGAGTGAGTGAGTGGGTGGGTGAGTGGGTGAGTGAGTGGTGAGTGAGTGAGTGAGTGGGTGAGTGAGTGAGTGAGTGGGTGAGTGAGTGGGTGAGTGAGTGAGTGGGTGGGTGAGTGGGTGAGTGAGTGGTGAGTGGGTGGTGAGTGAGTGGTGAGTGAGTGGTGAGTGAGTGGTGAGTGAGTGGTGTAGCCTCACCGACAGGAAAGTCTCTCCAGTACGGTGAGTGACCAGGCCTCGCACACAGCCTGAGTGGTAAGTGAGTGGTGAGTGGGTGGTGAGTGAGTGGTGAGTGAGTGGGTGGGTGAGTGAGTGAGTGGGTGAGTGGGTGAGTGAGTGAGTGGGTGGGTGGGTGAGTGGTGAGTGAGTGGTGAGTGGTGAGTGAGTGAGTGGTGAGTGAGTGGTGAGTGAGTGAGTGAGTGGTGAGTGGGTGAGTGGGTGGGTGGGTGAGTGGGTGAGTGAGTGAGTGGTGAGTGGTGAGTGAGAGGTGAGTGAGTGAGTGAGTGGTGAGTGAGTGAGTGGGTGGGTGAGTGGGTGAGTGAGTGGTGAGTGGTGAGTGAGTGGTGAGTGAGTGGTGTAGCCTCACCGACAGGAAAGTCTCTCCAGTACGGTGAGTGACCAGGCCTCGCACACAGCCTGAGTGGTGAGTGAGTGGTGAGTGAGTGGGTGAGTGAGTGAGTGGTGAGTGAGTGGTGTAGCCTCACCGACAGGAAAGTCTCTCCAGTACGGTGAGTGACCAGGCCTCGCACACAGCCTGAGTGGTAAGTGAGTGGTGAGTGGGTGGTGAGTGAGTGAGTGGGTGGGTGAGTGGGTGGTGAGTGAGTGAGTGGTGAGTGAGTGGTGTAGCCTCACCGACAGGAAAGTCTCTCCAGTACGGTGAGTGACCAGGCCTCGCACACAGCCTGAGTGGTGAGTGAGTGGTGAGTGAGTGGTGAGTGAGAGGTGAGTGAGTGGTGTAGCCTCACCGACAGGAAAGTCTCTCCAGTACGGTGAGTGACCAGGCCTCGCACACAGCCTGAGTGGTGAGTGAGTGGTGAGTGAGTGGTGAGTGAGTGGTGAGTGAGTGGTGAGTGAGTGAGTGAGTGGTGAGTGAGTGGTGAGTGAGTGGTGTAGCCTCACCGACAGGAAAGTCTCTCCAGTACGGTGAGTGACCAGGCCTCGCACACAGCCTGAGTGGTGAGTGAGTGGTGAGTGGTGAGTGAGAGGTGAGTGAGTGAGTGAGTGGTGAGTGAGTGGTGTAGCCTCACCGACAGGAAAGTCTCTCCAGTACGGTGAGTGACCAGGCCTCGCACACAGCCTGAGTGGTGAGTGAGTGGGTGAGTGAGTGAGTGGTGAGTGAGAGGTGAGTGAGTGGTGTAGCCTCACCGACAGGAAAGTCTCTCCAGTACGGTGAGTGACCAGGCCTCGCACACAGCCTGAGTGGGCCTGCAGGTGGCGAGTGAGTGGTGAGTGAGTGGTGAGTGAGTGAGTGAGTGGTGAGTGGGTGAGTGGGTGGGTGGGTGAGTGGGTGAGTGAGTGAGTGGTGAGTGGTGAGTGAGAGGTGAGTGAGTGAGTGAGTGGTGAGTGAGTGGTGTAGCCTCACCGACAGGAAAGTCTCTCCAGTACGGTGAGTGACCAGGCCTCGCACACAGCCTGAGTGGTGAGTGAGTGGTGAGTGAGTGAGTGGGTGAGTGAGTGAGTGAGTGGGTGAGTGAGTGGGTGAGTGAGTGAGTGGGTGGGTGAGTGGGTGAGTGAGTGGGTGAGTGGGTGAGTGGTGAGTGAGTGGTGAGTGAGTGGTGAGTGAGTGGTGTAGCCTCACCGACAGGAAAGTCTCTCCAGTACGGTGAGTGACCAGGCCTCGCACACAGCCTGAGTGGGCCTGCAGATGGCGAGTCCACTCACGCTGAGCCAGGTTCCACAGCCTCACCTGAACACACTCAGACAGACACACACACACAGTGACACACACACAGCTACACACACACAGTGACACACACAGTGACACACACAGACACACACACACACACAGACACACACACACAGACACACACACACACACACAGACACACACACACAGACACACACACACACACACAGACACACACACACAGACACACACACAGACACACACACACACACAGACACACACACACACACACACAGACACACACACACACAGACACACACACACAGACACACACACAGACACACACACAGTGACACACAGACACACACACACACACACACTCAGACACACAGACACACACACTCAGACACACAGACACACACACTCAGACACACAGACACACACAGACACACACACACAGACACACACACAGACACACACACAGACACACACACAGACACACAGACACACAATACACACACACACAGACACACACACTCAGACACACACACTCAGACACACACACTCAGACACACAGACACACACACTCAGACACACAGACACACACAGACACACACACACAGACACACACACAGACACACACACAGTGACACACAGACACACACACACACACACACTCAGACACACAGACACACACACTCAGACACACAGACACACACACTCAGACACACAGACACACACAGACACACACACACAGACACACACACACAGACACACACACAGACACACACACAGACACACACACAGACACACAGACACACAATACACACACACACACACACTCAGACACACACACTCAGACACACAGACACACACACTCAGACACACAGACACACACAGACACACACACACACACTCAGACACACACACAGACACACACACACAGACACACACACAGACACACACACAGACACACACACAGACACACACACAGACACACACAGACACACACAGACACACACACAGACACACACACAGACACACACACAGACACACACACACAGACACACACACACAGACACACACACAGACACACACACACAGACACACACACACAGACACACACACACACACACACAGTGACACACACACACAGACACACACACACACAGACACACACACACAGACACACACACACAGACACACACACACAGACACACACACACACAGTGACACACACACACAGACACACACACACACAGACACACACACACACAGACACACACACACAGACACAGTGACACACACACACAGTGACACACACACACAGACACACACACACACACAGACACACACACAGACACACACACACAGACACACACACACACACACACAGACACACACACACAGACACACACACACAGACACACACACAGACACACACACAGTGACACACAGACACACACACACACACACACTCAGACACACAGACACACACACTCAGACACACAGACACACACACTCAGACACACAGACACACACAGACACACACACACAGACACACACACAGACACACACACAGACACACACACAGACACACAGACACACAATACACACACACACAGACACACACACTCAGACACACACACTCAGACACACACACTCAGACACACAGACACACACACTCAGACACACAGACACACACAGACACACACACACAGACACACACACAGACACACACACAGTGACACACAGACACACACACACACTCAGACACACAGACACACACACTCAGACACACAGACACACACAGACACACACACACAGACACACACACAGACACACACACAGACACACACACAGACACACACACAGACACAGTGACACACAGACACACACAGACACACACACAGACACACACACAGACACACACACACACAGACACACACACACAGACACACACACACAGACACACACACTCAGACACACAGACACACAGACACACACACACACAGACACACACACACAGACACACACAGACACACACACACAGACACACACACACAGACACACACACAGACACACACACAGACACACACACAGTGACACACAGACACACACAGACACACACACACAGACACACACAGACACACACACACAGACACACACACACAGACACACACACAGAAACACACACACAGAAACACACACACACACACACAGATAGACACACACACACACAGCCTCACCTGAACACACACAGTGACACACACACAGTGACACACACACAGTGACACACACACAGTGACACACACACAGACACACACACACAGACACACACACACAGACACACACACACAGACACACACACAGACACACACACAGACACACACACAGACATACACACACACACAGACACAGTGACACACACAGACACACACACAGACACACACACAGACACACACAGACACACACACAGACACACACACACAGACACACACACACAGACACACACACACAGACACACACACTCAGACACACAGACACACACAGACAGTGACACACAGACACACACAGACACACACACAGACACAGACACACACAGACACACACACAGACACACACACACACAGACACACAGACACACACACAGACACACACACACACACAGATAGACACACACACAGACACACACAGATAGACACACACACACAGCCTCACCTGAACACACACAGTGACACACACAGACACACACACACAGACACACACACACAGACACACACACACACACACAGACACACACTCAGACACACCGACACACACACAGACACACACACACACAGACACACACACACAGACACACACACACAGACACACACACACAGACACACACACACAGACACACACACACAGACACACACACACAGACACACACACACAGACACACACACACAGACACACACACACTCACCCACACACACTCACCCACACACTCACCCACACACTCACCCACACACTCACCCACCCACCCACCCACACACTCACCCACCCACCCACTCACCCACTCACCCACCCACTCACCCACCCACCCACTCACTCACTCACCCACCCACCCACTCACCCACCCACCCACCCACTCGCCCACCCACTCACTCACCCACTCACCCACCCACCCACTCACTCACCCACCCACTCACTTACTCACTCACCCACCCACTCACTCACCCACCCACTCACTCTCTCACCCACTCACCCATCCACTCACCCACCCACCCACTCACCCATCCACTCACCCACCCACCCACCTACCCACCCACCCACCTACCCACTCACCCACCCACTCACTCACGCACCCACTCACGCATCCACTCACACACCCACTCACCCACCCACTCACCCACCCACCCACTCACCTACCCACTCACCCACCCACTCACCCACCCACCCACTCACTCACCCACCCACTCACTCTCTCACCCACTCACCCTTCCACTCACCCACCCACCCACTCACCCATCCACTCACCCACCCACCCACCTACCCACTCACCCACCCACTCACTCACCCAACCACCTACCCACTCACCCACCCACTCACCCACCCACTCACCCAACCACCCACCCACCCAACCACCCACCCACTCACCCACCCACCCACCCACTCACTCACCCACTCACCCACCCACTCACCCACCCACCTCGCCATCGCAGGCCCCAGACAGCAGTGAGACCACGCTGAGTGGGTGGGTGGCCAAGGCGCTAACAGAGTCTCGATGCCCTCCCAGCGAGGCCACCAGCGGCTTGGCCAGGAGCCTCTGAACTTTCACCGAGTTCAGGGCCCGGGTGTACTCACGAGGGACCTCGAGAGGGTGGATCGACACCTCATAGCTCCTAGGCACTGGGAGACCACACAGGTGGTGGGGGGGGGTGGTGAGGGTGGTGGTGGTGGTGATGGTGGTGGTGGTGGTGGTGATGGTGGTGGTGATGGTGGTGGTGATGGTGGTGGTGATGGTGGTGGTGATGGTTGTGGTGATAGTGGTGGTTGTGGTGGTGGTGATGGTGGTGGTGGTGGTGATGGTGGTGATGGTGGTGGTGATGGTGGTGATGGTGGTGGTGGTGATGGTGGTGATGGTGGTGATGGTGGTGATGGTAGTGGTGGTGGTGATGGTGGTGGTGATGGTGGTGATGGTGGTGGTGATGGTTGTGGTGGTGGTGGTGATGGTGGTGGTGATGGTGGTGATGGTGGTGGTGGTGATGGTGGTGATGGTGGTGGTGATGGTGATGGTGGTGATGGTGGTGGAGGTGATGGTGGTGGTGGTGATGGTGGTGGTGATGGTGGTGGTGATGGTTGTGGTGATAGTGGTGGTTGTGGTTGTTGTGGTGGTTGTTGGTGGTAGTGGTGGTTGTAGTGGTGGTTGTTGTCGTGGTTGTAGTGGTGGTAGTGGTGGTTGTAGTGGTGGTTGTCGTGGTTGTAGTGGTGGTTGTGGTGGTTGTAGTGATGGTAGTGGTGGATGTAGTGGTGGTAGTGGTTGTTGTAGTGGTGCTTGTTGTCGTGTTTGTGGTGGTGGTTGTGGTGGTTGTTGTGGTGGTAGTGGTGGTAGTGGTGGTAGTGGTGGTAGTGGTGGTAGTGGTTGTGGTTGGAGTGGTTGTGGTGGTGTCAGCAGCAGCTGATCATCATCAGTAGTAGCATCATCAGCATCACCACCACCATCATAACCACCACCACCACCACCATCATCATCATCACCACCATCACCACCATCACTACCATCACCACCACCATCATCACCACCATCACCACCACCATCACCACCATCACCACCATCATCACCACCATCATCACCACCATTACCACCACCACCACCATCACCACCATCACCATCACCACCATCACCACCACCATCATCACCACCATCACCACCACCACCATCACCACCACCATCATCACTACCATCACCACCATCACCACCACCATCATCATCACCACCATCACCACCATCACCATCACCACCACCATCATCACTACCATCACCACCACCATCATCACCACCACCATCATCACCATCATCACCACCCCCACCACCATCATCACCATCACCACCATCACCACCACCATCACCACTGTACTTGGCCTACTCTTCCTTACTCCCCGTCTCACCTCTCTGGATGTCCTTAGTAGTTTCCCGAACGTACTCGTCCGGGTTTCTGGATAGCATCTTAACCTTCATCTTGACAACTCCTCCTCACACTACCAAGTCGTAGTTTTAGTAGCGCCAATAATAATAATACTACTATCACCACGTAAATCTCTAAAGTTTAACACTTGTAACTGTTTATAAACCTCAGTGTCTCTATCTGCTGTCTAATGCAATAATGATCATACGAGTAATGAACAACTTGGAGGCTTTGACTTGTCTCTCTATTATTATAAATAATAATTAGTAATCTTGAGTGATAATAAATCTCTAAAGGTTGAAAAAAATTTTCACCGCTGGAGATTTATAAAACGCTGGGCAGCCCACGTGGAACAGCGCGTACAGTACTTCCGGGTCGACGTGATGACGCCACTTCCGTCCCTGCGTAATGACGTCAAGGCCCTGCGTGATGACGTAGGATCCACGTTCCGTTATCATTGTGTATTCATATTGTTGGTTCAAGTCTCCACGTGGAAGGAGAAATAATAAAATAATAGAAATATAAAACAATAAAATTATTATTCTTGGTTCTTTGGGTAAAGTCACCACCACGTAGAAGGGAAACAATAAAATAATAAAAATATAAAACAATAAAATTATTATTCTTGGTTCTTTGGGTAAAGTCACCACCACCACGTAGAAGGGAAACAATAAAATAATAAAAATATCAAACAATAAAATTATATTCTTGGTTCTTTGGGTAAAGTCACCACCACGTAGAAGGGAAACAATAAAATAATAAAAATATAAAACAATAAAATTATTATTCTTGGTTCTTTGGGTAAAGTCACCACCACGTTAGAAGGGAAACAATAAAATAATAAAAATATAAAACAATAAAATTATTATTCTTGGTTCTTTGGGTAAAGTCACCACCACGTAGAAGGGAAACAATAAAATAATAAAAATATAAAACAATAAAATTATTATTCTTGGTTCTTTGGGTAAAGTCACCACCACGTTAGAAGGGAAACAATAAAATAATAAAAAAATAAAACAATAAAATTATTATTCTTGGTTCTTTGGGTAAAGTCACCACCACGTAGAAGGGAAATAATAAAATAATAAAAATATAAAACAATAAAATTATTATTCTTGGTTCTTTGGGTAAAGTCACCACCACCACGTAGATGGGAAACAATAAAATAATAAAAATATAAAACAATAAAATTATTATTCTTGGTTCTTTGGGTAAATTCATCACCACGTTAGAAGGGAAACAATAAAATAATAAAAATTTAAAACAATAAAATTATTATTCTTGGTTCTGTAAAGTCACCACCACGTAGAAGGGAAATAATAAAATAATAAAAATATAAAACAATAAAATTATATTCTTGGTTCTTTGGGTAAAGTCACCACCACGTAGAAGGGAAACAATAAAATAATAAAAATATAAAACAATAAAATTATTATTCTTGGTTCTTTGGGTAAAGTCACCACCACGTAGAAGGGAAACAATAAAATAATAAAATATAAAACAATAAAATTATTATTCTTGGTTCTTTGGGTAAAGTCACCACCACGTAGAAGGGAAACAATAAAATAATAAAAATATAAAACAATAAAATTATTATTCTTGGTTCTTTGGGTAAAGTCACCACCACGTAGAAGGGAAACAATAAAATAATAAAAATATAAAACAATAAAATTCTTATTCTTGGTTCTTTGGTTAAAGTCACCAAGTTAGAAGGGAAACAATAAAATAATAAAAATATAAAACAATAAAATTATTATTCTTGGTTCTTTGGGTAAAGTCACCACCACGTAGAAGGGAAACAATAAAATAATAAAAATAAAAAAACAATACAATTATTATTCTTGGTTCTTTGGGTAAAGTCACCACCACGTAGAAGGGAAACAATAAAATAATAAAAATATAAAACAATAAAATTATTATTCTTGGTTCTTTGGGTAAAGTCACCACCACGTAGAAGGGAAACAATAAAATAATAAAAATATAAAATAATAAAATTATTATTCTTGGTTCTTTGGGTAAAGTCATCAGGAGAAAGTGTTATCACTACAGGAGAATGTGTTATCACTACAGCAGAATGTGTTATCACTGCAGGAGAATGTGTTATCACTGCAGGAGAAAGTGTTAAAACTACAGGAGAATGTGTTATCACTACAGGAGAATGTGTTATCACTACAGGAGAATGTGTTATCACTACAGGAGAAAGTGTTATCACTACAGGAGAATGTGTTATCACTACAGGAGAATGTGTTATCACTACAGGAGAATGTGTTATCACTACAGGAGAATGTGTTATCACTACAGGAGAAAGTGTTATCACTACAGGAGAATGTGTTATCACTACAGGAGAATGTGTTATCACTGCAGGAGAATGTGTTATCACTAAAGGAGAATGTGTTATCACTGCAGAAGAATGTGTTATCACTACAGGAGAATGTGTTATCACTACAGGAGAATGTGTTATCACTATAGGAGAAAGTCTTATCACTACAGGAGAATGTGTTATCACTACAGGAGAATGTGTTATCACTACAGGAGATTGTGTTATCACTACAGGAGAATGTGTTATCACTACAGGAGAATCTGTTATCACTACAGGAGAATGTGTTATCACTGCAGGAGAAAGTGTTATCACTGCAGGAGAATGTGTTATCACTACAGGAGAATGTGTTATCACTACAGGAGAATGTGTTATCACTACAGGAGAATGTGTTATCACTACAGGAGAATGTGTTATCACTAAAGGACTAAAGTGTTATCACTACAGGAGAATGTGTTATCACTACAGGAGAATGTGTTATCACTACAGGAGAAAGTGTTATCACTACAGGAGAATGTGTTATCACTACAGGAGAATGTGTTATCATTACAGGAGAATGTGTTATCACTACAGGAGAATGTGTTATCACTACAGGAGAATGTGTTATCACTACAGGAGAATGTGTTATCACTACAGGAGAATGTGTTATCACTACAGGAGAATGTGTTTATCACTGACAGGAGAATGTGTTATCACTACAGAGAATGTGTTATCACAACAGGAGAGAATGTGTTATCACTACAGGAGAATGTGTTATCACTACAGGAGAATGTGTTATCACTACAGGAGAATGTGTTATCACTACAGGAGAATGTGTTATCACTCCAGGAGAATGTGTTATCACTACAGGAGAATGTGTTATCACTACAGGAGAATGTGTTATCACTACAGGAGAATGTGTTATCACTACAGGAAAATGTGTTATCACTACAGGAGAATGTGTTATCACTACAGGAGAATGTGTTATCACCACAGGAGAATGTGTTATCACTAAAGGAGAATGTGTTATCACTACAGGAGAAAGTGTTATCACTCCAGGAGAAAGTGTTATCACTACAGGAGAATGTGTTATCACTACAGGAGAATGTGTTATCACTACAGGAGAATGTGTTATCACTAAAGGAGAATGTGTTATCACTACAGGAGAATGTGTTATCACTACAGGAGAATGTGTTATCACTACAGGAGAAAGTGTTATCACTACAGGAGAAAGTGTTATCACTACAGGAGAATGTGTTATCACTACAGCAGAATGTGTTATCACTACAGGAGAAAGTGTTATCACTACAGGAGAATGTGTTATCACTACAGGAGAATGTGTTATCACTACAGGAGAATGTGTTATCACTACAGGAGAATGTGTTATCACCACAGGAGAATGTGTTATCACTACAGGAGAATGTGTTATCACTAAGGAGAATGTGTTATCACTACAGGAGAATGTGTTATCACTACAGGAGAAAGTGTTATCACTACAGGAGAAAGTGTTATCACTACAGGAGAATGTATTATCACCACAGGAGAATGTGTTATCACTACAGGAGAATGTGTTATCACTACAGCAGAATGTGTTATCACTACAGGAGAATGTGTTATCACTACAGGAGAAAGTGTTATCACTACAGGAGAAAGTGTTATCACTACAGGAGAATGTGTTATCACTACAGGAGAATGTGTTATCACTACAGGAGAATGTGTTATCACTACAGGAGAATGTGTTATCACTACAGGAGAATGTGTTATCACTACAGGAGAATGTGTTATCCCTACAGGAGAATGTGTTATCACTACAGGAGAAAGTGTTATCACTACAGGAGAATGTGTTATCACTACAGGAGGATGTGTTATCACTACAGGAGAATGTGTCATCACTACAGGAGAATGTGTTATCACTACAGGAGAATGTGTTATCACTACAGGAGAAAGTGTTATCACTACAGGAGAATGTGTTATCACTACAGGAGAATGTGTTATCACTACAGGAGAAAGTGTTATCACTGCAGGAGAATGTGTTATCACTACAGGAGAATGTGTTATCACTGCAGGAGAATGTGTTATCACTACAGGAGAATGTGTTATCACTACAGGAGAATGTGTTATCACTACAGGAGAATGTGTTATCACTACAGGAGAATGTGTTATCACTACAGGAGAATGTGTTATCACTACAGGAGAATGTGTTATCACTACAGGAGAATGTGTTATCACTACAGGAGAAAGTGTTATCACTACAGGAGAATGTGTTATCACTACAGGAGAATGTGTTATCACTACAGGAGAATGTGTCATCACTACAGGAGAAAGTGTTATCACTACAGTAGAATGTGTTATCACTACAGGAGAATGTGTTATCACTTCAGGAGAATGTGTTATCACTACAGGAGAATGTGTTATCACTACAGGAGAATGTGTTATCACTACAGGAGAATGTGTTATCACTACAGGAGAATGTGTTATCACTACAGGAGAAGTGGTATCACTACAGGAGAATGTGTTATCACTACAGGAGAATGTGTTATCTACAGGAGAATGTGTTATCACTACAGGAGAATGGTTATCACTACAGGAGAATGTGTTATCACTACAGGAGAATGTGTTATCACTACAGGAGAATGTGTTATCACTACAGGGAGAAGTGTTATCACTACAGGAGAAAGTGGTATCACTACAGGAGAATGTGTTATCACTACAGGAGAATGTGTTATCATTAGAGGAGAATGTGTTATCACTACAGGAGAATGTGTTATCACTACAGGAGAAAGTGTTATCACTACAGGAGAATGTGTTATCACTGCAGGAGAATGTGTTATCACTACAGGAGAATGTGTTATCACAACAGGAGAATGTGTTATCACTACAGGAGAATGTGTTATCACTACAGGAGAATGTGTTATCACTGCAGGAGAATGTTGTTGTCACTACAGAGAATGTGTTATCACAACAGGAGAATGTGTTATCACTACAGGAGATGTGTTATCACTACAGGAGAATGTGTATCACTACAGGAGAAATGTGTTATCACTAAAGGAGAATGTGTTATCACTACAGGAGAATGTGTTATCACTACAGGAGAATGTGTTATCACTACAGGAGAAAGTGTTATC